TCTATACTTGCAGTCAGGGTGAAACTTAACGCGAGTTCCCTAAAAAATGAAAAAAAAGAATTAAAGATAGAATACTTTCCTTAATTTTCAATATTTTTGCAGCTGTGATTAGGAATGGGGACGGTTCTATCAGTTCCAATTCAGTTCCTCTTTGGTTCTACTTCGACTCTTCTTAAGTAAATTAAAACTTTAAGCATTAAATTAAATTTATACTAATAGAACATCATGTGATGATCAATTTAAAAAATTTTTTTGACTAGTTATCCAACAAATTCATCTTATTATTACTTTTAATTTGATGATAATCTGATTTAGCTGACTTTTAGAACTAGTCCAGAGTCAGTTTTGGTTCAATTTTTAAAATTGGTTAAAATGGTTTGTAATTTAGGAAAACCCAGAATATGCAGAAATTATATTCAGTTTCAGAACTGACTCAGAGTCATTCATTTTAAACTGTTTCTATTCTTAACTGTAACAAAATGCTTATTTCACATGCCATGCAGTTTCTCATTTGTTTTGAAGTTGATCTAGTTATGAAATCAATGTTCAAGGTAACAAATTCTAATAAAGTTGATATGTCATTTTCTGAAGTATAACTTAAGGACTAAAGTTATACTAGTGAGTATAAATATAGAGAGTCACATCTTTTCGCTTCAGAAATACTTTTCATTAAAACCATATGGATAGTTTGCTGCTATTGTTCGTTCTTTCAATTTTTTGAGAAAACGGTCAGTAAAAAAACAGAAAATCTACTTTTTAGTTAAAATTTTTTTTATTGATTCACTTTGCTAATCATAAGCATGTGAATAAAACTAGCTTAATAACAAAATTACTCAAAATTTGGGCGTCCAACCCCATGTATAAATAAATATTTTTAAAGTATATATCACGTGACATATACAGTTTCGGAGGTCTTGACCGCCCCATGTGATCAAAAAATTTTGATTGTCAATTTTATTGGTTAATATTTTAATCACGTGAAATAAATTCAATAGTTGGATAAATTTTAAAGATCGATAAAGTATTAAAATCAAAAAAAACGTGGTATCTTTTGATCGCTTTTTTAAACACGTCTGGTGTCTAGTAAAATTTTTAATACACTTTAAAAATTTAAGGAACATAATGAGAAAATTTCGACTAAACGTGTTAGCTCTTCCAGTTCTGGACCTCAAAAGAGGAAAAAAATAACATTACGCGTTCAACTCCGCGTTTAATTTTGCCTAACTCTCAGCAAGAAGTTTCTCAAGCTCCTCTTCAATTGCAACAAAATATTCTTCAAGTCCAACTTCAACAACAACGAAATATTCTTCCTCAACTTCAACAGCAACGAAATATTTTTCCTACATTTTGTAAAAAAAAAAAAAAATAATTTATATACGAAAATAAAATGATCCGATCATTAATTTTGTATCCCTATTACAACTCAATGATATTATTTGTTTTCCTCTTATATTTCCATTGTAGACAAGATAAAAATCATAAAAATAAATCACAAGGTATAAAAATATTAAAAATTAAAATTAAATTTGATAACAACAATAATAAATTACTTAACGTCGAAAACTAAGTGACTCCGCTGAATATTGTGCGTGAATCAAATATTAATTTTGAACGGATGGCTAGTTTCAAGCCTCCATCTCTCTAAAGAAGATGGATTCCTATATTTCGTGCCCGAGACGATTGTGGAAGTTTTGTTTCGCGATTACATTGCTTTTTCTTTACCTTGTCGCTATGGATGCAAATGGCGTTTTATCTAAAAAGTACCTGATTTCCCTTTACTTCATAGCCTTTAGATTGTGGCATCATTGATTTTGATTGAGATTCGAAAGCCAGAAACCATTATTTTGCCTATTGATGCCAACAAATGCGTCCAGTGCAAATTGTGGGATCGAGAAATTCTCAGAAGTTTAATGTGTACCCTTAGGAAGTATTAATTTAGGGGATCCGGTAAAGAAATCATCTAACGGAAGTGCAGTTCAATTTTAATAAAAATTAAATAGATTAATACAATAAGGAAAACAACAATAAATTAATTGCTAATCAAAGATTATCATACTTGTAGAGCATCGCGTGCACTTTCCATACTGTTTAACAATACGAAACTAATTATTTTGTAAAAAAATTCCGATTTTTAATAAAAAAAAATACTAAATTATATTATTATCTTATAAGTAAAGTTTTTAAAGAGAAGAAAGGAAAGGAAAGAAAAGATTGATATGTGATGTAGTGATAGTAAGTGTCATTTGGGTCGTTTCAACATTAAATGACAAATGACGTGTCATTTAAAAATTATATCGTGTGATCTCAATAATTCTGGCCAAAATAATTATGTTTCAAACGTAATTCTGGACAGCATATAAAATTTGGCCTTGTATTACCAAATGACAAATGACCAGATCTATTCAGAGGTCATTTTCAAAATCGCCAAATGACCTTGGTCATTTGCCATCACTGGGAAAGCTAGAGTTAAAAATTATTTGTTAGTTCAGAATTTGACTAATAATTAAAATAACGATTACCTTCTTGTTTAATTAATGTAATTTGCAATTGTTTCACTTCTATCGCCTTCTGAAATGTACCTTTCTCTTCCTCTAAATATTTTTTATTTCAGCGTCCAAAACATCTTTATTCCCCTCATTCTCTTTACTTCCTCATCTTTTTCTTTCTTAATTTACCATTCAACTTCCTCAATTCGCTCTTCAGATTCACTAACTTATTCAATTTTTCGGCTTTTTCTTCGGCAACTCCTAATTTTTATTTAATAGATTTTAATTTCATTCATTTTCGTAAAATTAAAATTTAAAATTTGTGAAAATTATGATCTGTGCCACTAAAATATGTGATAATTCAATTGCAAATTTTTTACTATTGAAATCGAGGGTTTACTATTTTTTTCCCAGATGACTTGTTTTCACAAAGAAAATATCTTTCAATTTATATGTATAAGTACAATTATTAATTTTTTTTTTTTATATAATATTATTGAGATAAAATCCAATCATAAATGTTTTATAAACTTGGACGATAATAATGAAACAAAGCAATATTAACGTATTCTTAAATCTTTTAAAAATAGAAATTGTACGTATCTTTTTTTTTTTAATGAAAATATAAATTATTTTATATTATTCCCATATATTTTAAGCTTTATATTTGTAATGGAAAGCAAGATTAAGATAGAATATTACTATTACTTATTAATTAAATGTATTAATTAATATTATCACTTATTACCTTTTCAACAGTATGAATGGTAGTCGATCAGGAGATAATAATAAGTGGTACACAAAATAGTCTATAAAATATTCAAAAAAGAGAAAAAAAAAAAAGGAAAAAAAAAAAATAAAAAAATTTATTATGCAAAACGAAATAGAAAGAGTATTATCTGAATTTAGAATTCTCGACAGGGAAAAACGTAAAATTTTGTAAGTCTTAAAAATTAACTTAATGAAATGTCTTTAAAGTTTTACGTGTAAGAAAAAACAGTCCTGATATCTTATAGCTTGCTGTCTCTTGTTGAAGAATGTGACCCACACGAAGTATTTACCTTACAACAAGGATTGAAATTAAAAGGCTTTGGTGCATTTGATATTATCGGATCTTTACCCCCTGAACTTTCAGTGAAAATATTTGCATTCCTTGACGGTAAAAACTTATGTGCTTGTCGCGAGGTAGTTTATATTTGTCATTTTTTCAAAAGATTTTGTCATTTATCGAAATTTTAATGCTCAATAATATTTTAGGTTTGTAAGACATGGATGAATATTACTAATGAATCTGCAATATGGAGATTGAAATGTTTGGAGATGTTAAAAATAGATAAAGGTGCCAAGTCAGCACAGAATATGAATATTCCAAAAGAAGGATGGAAAAAATGGTATCAAAAACAATATCGAAGAGAAGTAAATTGGATTAATGGACGAGTTCAGACAGTAAACATCCTTAGAGGTCATAAAGAACGTATATCGGATGCTAAATTAAAAGAAAATATTTTGGTAACTGGATCAGCAGATAGAACGGTTCGAATTTGGAATATCGACACAGGAGAATGTATCCGTACATTGTGTGGAAACTCTTTTAGTTGTGTGGATTTCTTGCTCGAAGAACAAATTGTAGCCGCGTCTACATTTTTTCGTTCATCTTTCATTTGGAATATGGAAACTGGTGAGCTATTAAGGGAATTGAGCGGACATGTTAGCGCTGTAAGATGTATTAGTTTATCTAAATCATATGTTGCATCATGCGCATTCGATGGAAGCTTAATTGTCTGGAATTGGAGAACGGGAGAAAAATTAGCAACTATACCAGCAGAAGCGGTGCAAATTCGAATATTTGAAAGTACCATTTTGTCTCTTAGTAGTTCTAGCATCAAAGCGTTTGATATACCGAATGGGAATTGCATTTTTTCAGCACCTTTTAATGAAGGATTATTAGGATGGAGTTACATTCAAAATTATCTTTTATCAAAAAGTGCAGAGGACTCAATGAACGGATTTCCTGATCAGATAGTATCATCATCAAATATCTTAAATATAATAAGACTTTGTTCTGACTCTAGGGTTTATGATTTTGATACAAAAAGAGGAAGGATGATAAGTGTTAATTCTGGTACTTTGCAATTGATATTACTTAATGAGACATGTCAACCTAATGCGACGCGACCGCACTGTTTGTGTAATGTAGAAACGAGTCAACCTATGGAAATAGAGTATCCTCAAGGGAAATATAAAGCTATCCTTAACAAAGAAGTTGTTAGAACCTTAAATATGGATCACCGACGTGTAATAGTCGGTTATTTAAGTGGAACGATTGCTATTTTAGATTTTGAACCATCATAGTAAAATGCTATTTATTTATTTATTCTTTTTTAATCACTTAGTTCAACTTCAAACTTTTTATATATTTCCCTTGTTGTTGTACCCTCAATTTCTGCACACTTCCCAAACAACATTTGTCCCGTATCTTTTATTTCATTATATTCGTGCAATTGACGGTAGTGATTATCCAACGTCTTTTGTATGTCCAAATTTTCTCTATTAAAGGACAAATTTTAATAAAAAAAAAAAAAAATCAATGTTTAAAAGATCTTCAACACATACCGTAATTGTATTTTCAAATTCAATTCGATATTGTTCAATTCACAAAGCCGACTTCTAAGTGACTGAATTTGAGAGTTAAGGTCCACTGATTTAGGATCTGTTTGTGAATTCGATTCCTCTGCTGGAAATTTTCTCTGTTTTAACAACGCATAATTTGAAATTAATGAAATTATGTATAAATATTTTAAAATAAAATAAAATGAATGACAATCACTTTTAATGTAGTCGTTAAATTGTCTTTCGGCTGAAGCTCTTTATTGATTTTGTTAAAATATAAAGTTATGACGTCGAACGATGTATCCGATGAAAGTCCGTTTATTTCAACCTTTTGTTCTAGTCTTGAAATGAATAAAAAGAAAGGAAAACATTTTTAAGTTTTAAAATTATTTTAAAAAATGTTTCAATATCAGGTACGTACATTATATCTTCAGCGACCAACTCTTGAAGAATACCGACATCATTTCCAAGTTGCCTTTTAAGTTCATAAAATGAAAGTGGTCGCGTGCTCCCTTCTTTTTTTATATATTGTAAAGCCTTCTCCTTGTATTTGTCCTTTGATTTTATATCATCCATATTAAAAGCCCATGAATACTTTGATTTTTAAAAATTATCATTTATTTATAAATTAATCAATTCACATGATCTTAATCCTTTTTTTTTTACAAATTTCTAATTTTATTAAGAGTAAATTTATTCATCGCAGGGGGGCGATACTCCTTATACATCGCCTTTATATATATATCCTTACCCTAACCCAAACCTAAACAATGTGACACTAACCGAGATGACAAATAGGGTTTCACATAAATAGCAGCGATAATATCGCATATGCAATATATAAATTTTCTCTTTATTTATATTTATTTATTTATAATATAATATAAAAGTATATATATAAAAGCCACAGTTTAATAAAAACATAAGATAAAAGTATTTTAATTTTTTTTAATAAAGTATTTTTATATATAAATTTTTAAGATTTTAAAGTTTAACACATTTAATAAATCTTTAAAAAATATTAATCTAAATTTATTCTGAAGTTTTAGTATACTAAAAATAATCATAACAAAGCTTTTTTAAAAAAAATGGCTTTTGCAGTGATCATGTATTGAAATGATTATTTAGGATAAATTTATATTCCAAATAGGATATTTTATGTAAATGATCATTAATACATTTAATAGCTTTAACTACTACTATTCTCTCTAAAAGCTAACTATAGTGTCGGAAGTCTTAACTCGACAATTGTTTCAAATTTTTGGTGATGATCTTTTATTATGTGACAAGAAACCGACCAATAAAAATGCACGATTTTGTGTAACTATGTGTAATTAACGGATGTTAAATTTAGAATAATGCCACACAGCAAGTTTTTTTTCTTTGAATGCTGTGAAGAAACTTTTGCAAATTTAAAGAGAATGATATAAAGCTAAGTATTGTATTCTTTATTATAATGTAATTAATTATCTTACTAATCATCCATCATTCTTTCAATATTTTCTGGCAGCCGACGGTGTGACTTTGTATTTATTAACAGCCCATTCAGTAGTCCTACCCTCTAGTCCTCTGTCATATGCATCCATATACCTTCATGATTTACGTGCAAACTTTCGAATGGTTGTAATAGGAACGCTATTAAGAGTCTCAGAAATATGCTTTAGTAGGTCTGAATAGTTATAATTATATAATCCCCTAATCTCTCATTTCGCAAAGCCCCAGTACCGCTCTATAAAGTTACATTCGCAATGAAACTTTGGATACCGTTCAAAAATATGTCCTGATCCAGTAATTCTTTCTTCTAATGCTGACCGTTATTCAAGAAAGTTGGGTTGTAAAGATAATATTTGTCGTGAATAACAATTCTATCTTGTTAAGTCATCATCAACATCCTTGTTTAAACATTTTTTGCATACTAAATTAATCCTTTCCTTAAGCCAAAGATTACGTTTCTCAAGAATTTTTTGATTTCTTTTGGTTTTCCTCTTAGGCTTTTTACTGAATGGTCATTTGGAAATATCATAGACTGTTTGCATTTATCTCCATGTTCATTGATATACCATCCGTCACGCATTATGAGTTGTTTTCCTTCAGGTCCCAAATTCATTTTTGTTACGATCAGTGCATTCTCTGCCATAGCATTGTAGTTGGTTGACTGGTCAAAATAAAAAATACTAATACATCCAGGATGTAATACCTCAAATATTGGAATTGCTTTTTGTACAAGCTATATTATAAAGGTAAAAGTAAGTTGATTTAGCATTTAAAAAATTTTTTTCTTTATCATAAAAAAAAAATTTAACCAAACCTGTTCTATCATATGTTCTGAGGTCCAATATCCATCTACTTATACAGAACGAAGAACATAAGCATTTTTATCTTTAATGTGTAGATTTTCCTATAATTGCTTATCGGTTAGTTGTAATAGTCCATGACATGGACAAAGGAAACTGGAAACCATAATAGAATACCCTAAATGTTTTGAGTGTAAAATACTCTCTTCCTCTCTAATCCAAACTTTTCGTCATCCATCATTTGAATAAAAATGACACTCATCATGTGTCACTTAAACAAATTCTTTTTCTCCTGAGTTAAGTTCAGGTTCTAATATAACATCCAACATATCACTATCAAATTCCTTCATAAATTTTTTGTATTCAAACATTCTTTTCAGCCATTCTTTTCTATATGCTACCACATCCAGCCTCTCATGTCCATCATAATAAATATCCTTCTTCTTTTCATTATACTTATATCCTCATAGATACATATAATTTCTGCATGTTTTTTCAGAAATTGTATCTTTTTTAATATTTCCTGTTAAGTTTGGAAATAATGTTTCCTCAATATACATTTTTAGATTATAGGAAGAACATATTTCCAGTGTTTGCTGTTGTAACCATACTTGGCAATATTCAACAAAATCCTCATTATCCAACAGACTTTCAATTTTCATATGCTTTCCTTGAGAATGTATAGGAAATTCACCAGTTCGTATAAAATAACTTTCCCATTTTCTAATGCATCGAGCCATGTAGTTTCCCTTATTCCACATAGCCTGAGAAATTTGACTACTGGTAGTCATTTTTCCTTCTCCATTTAATAATCTCTGTATAAATTGGCATACACTTAGAAGATGTATATAATCATAGGTAAATACATTATAATTTTCTTTTTTAGATTTTCCTATTAAACATAATTGATTAAGTTTTTCTAAACATGTATATAGATTTGACTTTGTATTTGAGATCCGTAATTGAACGTTGTTCCAGATTGAATTCCTTGCATAGTTGACATATGAGGGAGAGGAG